ATGCTATAGAGGTGTTGGCAAATTCCTGTCTGTTATGGGGATACAAGGATCTTCTTTCATGGGTTGTCACTTGAAGTATGTTGAAGCCAGTGCAAGTATAAAGCAAAATCTTCCTGGTGCTGTGAAACATCCACCTTTGGCAGTGACTTTAGAAGTGCTGCTGTTCCTTTCAGCTGCTACAACTTTGTCATGCATTGCATTCCAGCTTATGGGGATTGCAAGGTAACTTAGGCTGTATTTGGAAGCAATTTCTTTTATTGAGCAGTTGCCAACTTCGAAGGCTTCATTTGCATCATGTATTGGTGCATCTCCCAGCTGCGTATGTGTAGTCCAGATTTTGAAAAGAACATAGATTTATGGGACCTGGCATGCAACAGGAGAATTGGTAACTTATTTTTAAATGAAAACTTTTCTTGCAAATTTTTGAGCCGTTCAGAGAATATGGTAGGGTGTTGATTTTCATTCACCAGGAGATCAGATCCCACCGTGTCCCCAGCATTTAATAACTATTTGAATGTCACTGGAAAAGCTGTAAAATGGAATGTGTATGTTTCTGCTAGTTCTAGGTAATTCATAATGAATTTTTATTGACTGAACCACTGCAAAGTAGGCATCTTAGCCATATAATATTTAAAGGTAATATTTGGGGAATTAGATGCCTTTCAGCAGATTGATGTTATGCTGTTTCATTGGGAAACACTAACTTGGCAAACTGTGTGGCTCCCACTGATGCAGTTTAAAGGTATTTAATCTGTGGATTTCCCTGTGATTATGCATGTGAAAGTGCATCCAGTAACTCACATCCTTATAGCTGTGGACATAATATGAGCAATACCTCTTCAGATATTTAGCAGTTTGAGCCCGTAGGAAAGAATGCAAAGATGTTAGATGGAAATATGGATCATGAAAAACTGAAGTTTTGTAATTTCTGGTGCAGTTTCTATTCACTTAACAAATTGCTCTTTATGAAAATAGCCTCCCCTTCTCCCCTTCTGCAGCCTGCCTGGGAATGGAAGTTGAGTTCTTCACAACCCTGTAGAAAAGAAATTATTATCAAGATCTGACCTTGGTACCACTTTGCAGTGTGAACACATTCCTGTCTGATTGAACCTGTGCATTTGTTTAAAAATAAGTTTTTGGTCTGAGAAGGGGACTCTGCACATCTGAAACCAGACCCTGAAAGGGCTTAACATCAGCAAACCACTTGAGACTTTTGTACTTTCATAGCCAGGGCTTTCTGCTGGAGGCAGAAAGGTGTTTTGGAAGTCCACTGTCCCTTTCAAATGTGTCCTTGTTGCTGTATGGGAGGACTGCACTGTGACTACTCCAGTAATAGCCTGATGTGATTAGCAGTTGAATTTTATGAAGGTGATTGACGTGCAGCCCACCTCTTCTAATGAATTCCTTGTAGTTGTCATTGTGTGCTACTTTGTCAGTTCATTATGGGCCTTTAAAACTTGGGAGGTATGTATTCCTTTACTTACTCAACTGACTTGTTGTCACTAATTGATATTTATGTAAAACATTGATTAGTCTTTTCCATTAAAAAATAATTGCAACCAAAGGGTGTGTTATGTCTCCTTTGCAAGATGGTTAACAAAAAGTGCTGTGGCACAGGTCCTGGTTGGCCTCTGTCTGGGAGCTGCTGCAGTTGTGCTTCCATCCTCAGATGAGATTCATGTGCTTTAGTTCATTTCACCACTGCCTGGAGCTGCATGGAGCTCCACTGGGAAAGGGGGAAACCCTGGGACAGGGTACACAGCCAGTGGGGAAACTCCTGTCTTTTACTGCCCTGCAACGTGAGCTGCTGGACATGCAGCTTTGTGTCTGAGTCACCTGGGCTTTGCTCAGCTGCTCTGAGAAATACAGACTTGGACAAAGTGGCGCATTTGCTTCTTATCACTCTTGAATACTTAAAGAGGATTCATGGATTTCAGTAGCTTTTGCTGCTCTTCTCCCGTGGCTGAAAAACATCTGTGGTCTGTCTGGCTGTGCAATTGGAATCAAGTTCCTCTCTGGCTCTCCTGGTATTTGAACATCAGACTCCCTGCATGAGTGGTTCCTCCTCTGAGGATTTTCCATTCCTTTAAACTCCAGCCTGCCTTGTACCAGTAAGAGAACATTTACAGTTGGGCCTGGCAGCCTTTCAGCCAGGGTACTTTGAATTTCATGTGTGTATCCTGAATGTTTAGCTTTCAAAGATAGGGAAAAAGATACTATTAAGTCATCCCAAGACAAAGAGGTCAATAGCAGGAGCTGAGAATGCTCAAATGTTTGGAGAGCTTTCTTTGAACAATCTCAGATATTGGATTGTTGCCTTGTGGTGAGGAATGCTTCCTTCTCTCCCATACAGCTCCCTGGAGCAGGGTGCTTGCAGGGTTCCTGGGACACCAGCTCCACTCCTTGGCCCCAAACCAGCTGTGGTGCAATTGGGCAGCTGTTGTCAGAGGCAGGGAGAGCGTGGCTGGCAGACGGGAGAGAGACACCCAAGGGGGACACAAGACTGGTATTAATAATGCTGTGAAAGTACCAAAAAGGGTTGTGGTACCCTCTGGTGTCCCTGCATTGGGCTGGCACTCACCAGCACAGTCCAATGCTCACAGAGTACACAAAGCTCCACTTAAAACATACCAGTTTCCTATCCAGAATTTATTAAGGACAAGAGTAACCGTCTGTTAAAGCATAGAAAAGGATTTTCCCCTTCTTTTGCAGTCACAGGAAACACAGGCTATGAACACTGGATCATTTTTCTCCCCTAACATACGTTTGCCTCCTATTTTCAAAAGCAGCTTCTTTCTTCAGGGAAGCTGGAGATTTCTACCATGACTAGTAGAAATTTGTTGATCTTTTTTTCAACAAATTCCCCCAACCATAAGAAAAGTCACCTGCTGGCAGGGGATAGTGCAAGTGGTTTGCCTTTCTGTTCCAAAGACTAAGCAAACCCAGCTTTACAAGATTCAAAAAGCTTTCATTACACCTGTTGTCTCAGGCTCCCTCACTTGCTGCCACAGCACAGAAAGCTGCCTTGGATCTCTCAGCAAAGCTGGATGCCAGACTGGCACCAAAACCCTGCTCTTCAAGACAGCCAAGGTCTCCCATGCTCACATTTATGTAATCCTGCATGGGAGGGCTGTAACTTGCTTGCCAAATCCTGTTTGCAACTTGATTTTACTTCCTTTTATTCCTACTGAACTTGCATAAATTTTGGTATATTGATTGTTTGCCATTAAACTGTGAACACAGTATGTCATGACACAGAATATCGTAAACATGTTCCCTCTATTCCATATGCACAATTCACCTCCCTCACTGCTGCCTCCATGCTGGTTGTGTTTCAAAGCTCAAACTATGGATCACTCCATATACAAACAAATTATGAACCAAAGCTTTTAATAGCTGTAACACAGCTATTTCAGAAAAATGCACTCAGCTCTGCCCCTGAGGTAAGCAATTCCAGGAGATCTGGGGGTATTGCAGTCCAGATAACATGCTAAGTTGTTCAAGAGTCAGCCTAGACTCAGGTTGTGCTAACTCTGAACTTGAAAAGGCTTACTCCTACATTATCTCTGTTGTACCTAAAGGAGTAAAGACATTTGTTAAGCTTCAGAGTTTTCCCATTTAATTAGGGCGGAGAGCTCCTGGGTCATATTTTAGTCCTGAAAAAATCTCTAGAAAACCTAAAAGATACATTGCAAAGTTCCTGATTTAAAAAGCAATGCTCACCCACCATCAGCCCCCAAAGCAGCTCTCAATCCTTCATCCATCGTGGTCAAGAGCACTGGAACTTAAGTCCAACTAATGGTGACCAAGAAACGTGGGGGAGGAACTCACTGATGCCAATGGGGAGGGCAAAAGCTCAGAAGAGCGAGCACACGTTTTCCTGATGTCCCACGACAGTGCTGCCAGTGCCCACGTCACCGTTGTGCAGCCTGCGAGCAGGGCACAATTTCTTTGGTGGCAGCCCTCAAAAAATGCCCACTGGAAATTCCAGCTGTCACAACACAACAGTAATACGCAGCCCACTGATCACTGTGAAACATAGGGCTTAACAAAAACAGGCACTGCTGGCATAAAGCATCTAATTTGACCTGGTATCCAAGCAAAGCTAATTGAGTTCAGCTGTGAGGGCTCGTTAGCTGGAGCTCTATAAAAAGCTGGTCTTGGTGGCCATTTCTTCCTAAGGAGGCTTCTTAGTAAAAGCTGCATGTCTTTTTGGAGGAAGGTAAGAGTTACTGCCTTCCTATTACTGCTTTTTGGTTGCCTTTATTTTGTCAGGTGCACTGTAGTTATCGAGAGCTGTTTCAGGAGGGAGAACTCAAAGTAGACTCTTGTTTAGCTTAAAGTTGTCTGCGAAGCAGTGAGTTTCCTGTTTTTTCCTTGCCCTGTCTTCAGACCTGTTTAATGATTTACCTGATTAATTCTTTAAACACTGAAGGAATGAGCTGTTGTACAGTAACTCTAATTACTGAACTCATTAACATCTTATTGTTTAATTTATGCACAAATGATGCTTGGTACATGGTTTAATTTTAACACCGGAGAAGGTTTAGGTTCATCACAGCCTTCATTCTGCCAAAACCTTACGAATGGTATTTCAGGCAAAAAGCTTTGTGCTAATTAAAAGTCCTGTAATAAGCAATGAGAGGGGTCTTTATACTGTTCGGTTTTTAACTGTTGGCTAAATGAGCTCTGAGATACTGGAGCAACCAAGTGTTTTGATAATCCACTGGCAGCTGTTCTGCAACAGCAACTGTACCTCATCCATAAACAACCAGTTCCTTATTTATTAGCACAAATAAGGGCGTGCAGGGAAGCCCTGCTATGCCCCACCACAACCATGCATTACGAGACCCTCAGCCTGCTAGTCCACTTCTCCTCACCCACTGACTCCCCCAGGATCTTATCACGTTGGTCCTTCAAAATAAATCCATAAATAAGTCAGTGGATGCAGCACATTTCTGTCTTACCAGTAGTAGGAACAGCAAAGGATAGAAATGGCATTGAGTAAGTACCACCCTTTTTATTAATGATGATGTCCCTTTTTATAGCTTGCCTTGTGCTGTCAGAGTAACAAGCCTTGCCCTGTGCCAGTTGCCAGGTGATGTGTGCTGAGGCTGCAGGGAATGGTCTATGGACACAGACTTTATTACAGGGCTGTCGCTGCCGTGCCCCAACAAACCTGGCAGCGGGACTTGAGCAGGCCTTGTGGCTCTGGCCCAGGGCTGGCTGGTGAGCGTGCCAGGAAGACTGTCTTGGTGGCCACTCTGTTCACTTGCAAGTCCAACAAATATTGCTGCCTCTCCAGCAACTGGCTGGTGGGAAGGAAAGGGCCAGTCCAGCTACACGGTGTCAAGAGGTTCCTCCCAGCACAGCTTCCTTCGGTTTCACACTAATTGTAAATAAAATAGGAAGGGGCACCAGATATATCTCACAACTGATTTGATTGGTGACTATGCAAGTGTGTCCTCTGCCCTGCTCACAGGGACTGCCGGGCCAGGGAGCCCTTCATGTGCTCCCAGTTGTTGTACAGAGCGTAGAGGCCGGTCAGCGTCAGACCCGCGATCCCACCTCGTGCTATCCCACGCATTCCACCTGAAACAGAAAAAAACAGTAAAGCTCATTGAAGTTACATTTGAGGAAATGGTCAGTCAACAGCACTTCCAAGAAGATCTCTAAATCCAGAGACATTTTAATGAAACAGGTTTTCTTTTTTGAGTAACTTTCCAGAAAGGGTCCTTGTGCTAATTCTACCTTCCTCTCAAACCTGCTGCCAGGCTTGAGGTCAGTCGTTCCTGATCCTGACACTAATTCTGCTGTTATGGCTTCCTCTCAAAATGTGTTAGCACTAGTGCCTCATGGAACCACTATAGAGCCCTGGAAGCAAAGATGGCTTTTCCCAATCTATTCCAACTGTCCTTAACACAATTGTTTACAGTTAGGTATGATCTCTTCCTGCTGTAAGAACTCTTCCATTTAGGTTTTCAGAGGAGGAATATGTTTTTCAGTTATGGTAACTAGCGCTGGGCGGAAAGAGAAAGGGCAGGAGGGAAATAAGTGAACACAACAGCAGCTGATGTGGACATGGCCTTGGGCTCCAGAGATTTGTGAGGGCCATTGTGCAGAACTTATCACTGCTTTTGTGTCTTTGGAATTTTAAAACCCTTTGATAAAAAAAAAATAAAAAGTAGATGAGAGGGATTAACTGGCAAGAATTTACTAGGATGTACATTGACCAATTTATTTAGTTTTATTAATATTCTTAGTTTTATTAATATTCAAAATTATCACCTCACAACAGGTGATTAAGGTTTGTGAGCACCTTAGTGTAAGGCAAAAAGAGAGGGCAAGTTTGGCTACTACGTGGCTGAAGCTGGGAGTCAGATGGCACCCCAACTCCATTCCATCCATGTAAGTGTTGGGGTGTACAGGGGCAGAAGTAGAGACTTCTGATGCTTTTACTAAACAGCAAAATGCTTCTATTCCTCAGTAGTAGGAAGTGCCTCAGTAGAGCTCCCAGAATGCACCACAAATGCACAGCTGAGAGTATGACCCCCAATGCTAGGAAAACTTCACTGAGGTTGATTCTGCAATGTTTATCATTGCAGCTGAAGCAAGTTAGATAATGTGTACAGTGTATAGAACAAGGCCAGTTTCTGCTGACAGTGAGATAAAACCTGTCTGCCTTATTGGTGAAACTGGCAGTGCAATTCAGGTTCCTCAAACTTGAAAGCAAATCCATCTCAGTAATCAGGGATTTTTATTTTTTTTCCCCATTGTGGGTCATAAAGTTGTCTCACAGAATTGCTTTTAGGCTTGTATTGGGGCACAAAGCTGATGGTGTCAGTTAGACTGAGACTGTGTTACCTGTGTTGCAAGGTTAAAATGGATTTCATTGGAGTTGTTAAACCTCCTCCTATTGCCCAGGCACACAATAAAACCAAGAAGCTGTGGAAGTGGGACTTGATACTAGAAGCCATGTCTAGTCATAGTTTCTCAAAAATTCATTCCCAGACCAGCTGTGACCATTTGAGTTTTTTGGTGTATAAGCCTAAGTTTGCCACCCTAACTGCTGAGAATTCAACAGCTCTAAGAAAAGCCTTACTGAGTATGCTCTATGTGCCTAAATCAGCATTTAGGAAAGCAAATGTAGACTTCTGTGTTTGCTAATTGATCCTGAATTTGTTGCACAAAAAGCTTTTCATATGAAGGGGTTGCAGCTGGGTACACAAAACTAACCAAGTGCAAGCAGTGTCTGGCAAAAAGCCACAGGTGAAATTTAAAGGACACTTTGTGCAAAACAAGTATTTGAGATAATCTGTAAAAATATTGACTCCTCGTTTCTGCTGGGGAAAAATGAATAAAACATTAGAGCCTGATTTTCTGTTGTTATCAGGAATCAACTGATCACAGCAGAAAGCCCCAAAGGGGGCTCATAACCATTAGGGTGTACAGGGAAACGCACAGAATGTGGAACATCCCCACACAGCACAATGCAGACAGAGCTATGACTATTCCCATAGGTCCTTCCCTCAGCCCCCAGGTTCAATTCTTCTCCTTTCCTCTTAAAATCCTATTCTTATGGAAGGACAGGTAGTCAAAAGCTGACTGAGCTTGGTTCTAGATTCTGTGAAGTCAGGATTGTACAAGAAAGGTATCATCTTTAATTTGGATAGCTGAGCCACTTTGTAGCATCATGTGGACCCAGGGCACAGTTCTGCTAAGATGTACTACTTCTAACACAACAGATGTTGGTATTTCCATGTGCTGAGGTCAGCCAGGTAAGGATGGCAGCTCTGAACCCGCTTACAAGTGTCAACTTCAGGGCCTAAAGTCATCTGTAGGCTGGCAGACAACTTGGGGACATTGCTGAAGATGTTTTGTGAACAGGAACTAAACTTGTGCATTACTGAGAAAGAAAATATCCAAGGAAACAGGTAAAAAATGTTTCCTACCAGGTTGCCTATGCTTCTGCTACAAAACTTTTTAGTAATAGTAATTTTTTATTTTTTTTTTTTGTAGCAGTTTGTCCTGGTTTCTGAGCTATCCATGGTAAATACAAAAAAAGAGAAAGAGAAAACTTTCCCTAACCAGTCAGATTTGCATTTGAGTAAGTACGTGCAGGTCTGTGGTAGACTTCAAACAGTAATGCACTGTTGAATGCAGCCCTGTTGCTGGGCAGAAATGTTAGGCCCTCTGAGGAAAATTAACTTGTTAAGAAAAATAAAAAAAGAAATTCTCCACTCCCATCCCAGCTGTGTTTACATGATAGAACATGTTCCCACCCCTCCTCTGCAATCACTCTCTCTGCAAGCCTCTGATACCAAGTCTGCCCTGACAAACCCTGCTGAAACATGGTTGTGAGCCTCTAATCTTGTATGTCCCAGTAAGATAAAGGTTCCAGCTGACAGATGCTTCTGGAAGCAGGTATTTTGAGACCAGGCACCTTGCACAATAGTTGAGAACTGCTGTGGGTTTCCAAAGATACATCTGATGCTCTCTAAATGGGAGTTCAGTTCTCTGGCTTTGGCTGCTGCACCCTTTCACCATAAGGTATTGTCTCTATTCTGTGCATTTACAGTAGGTTCTGGTGTGCACCGTGCCATGACACACAGCACTGCATTCCGATGCAGCTGTGTTATGACACAGCATTCCAACAGCACAGCCCTGTGTTTCTTCATGGTAGGAGCCTCTCCTAACACTGAACTGTACTTGTGCAGTAGGTAAAACCATCACTACATGCCATAACATGAGGGCAAAGTCCTCAGAACCTTGCGGTCTCAATTTTCAGAATGTTACTCCACTATCCTGGGACAGTTCCTGGGATGTTAGAACCAAGAACCATCCAACAGCAAACACTGGAAATACCTTAACTGAAACCTCAGGCTGGCATACTCATGCCAAACAAAAGAAGTGTAATCATTAAATAGTTACTAGTTTTCTGTCTTCTAATCTCTCTCTTGGATACTCTGAATGAAAACAGTTTCTCTTCCTTTCAGGCTTCCAGGAACAAAAATATTTTTTTATTGAGCTCAGCTTCTCAAATGTACAATCTCAGTTTTGTTCCAAATTAAAGCACAGTGGTGCTAACCAGACCACCTGAACCATCAAGACATTTGTTTGAACATCCATAGGTAGTCCTAGTGGGCCTATGTCATTAGAAAATATGAACAGTTTCCTCCTGCTGCTCCATGGTGTTTATTTTATGAAATCTTTAAAGTGTGGGCAAAGTCTGTGGATACAGAAATTACTGAGGAAATTGATAAACTTATATATGGAAGCAAGATACATTCCAAAAAAGCATGCTCCATTTTCATATTGCTGCAGCTAAGGCAGTATTGTGGTTAAAATACAGAAACAACAAAGCTTGAAACAGGGAACATTTCCTGTAGTTACTGTGCTATGAAGGCTAAATTAGAAAAACAGTAGGAATTTACAATTTAATTTACAAGTTGAGAAGTACTAGAGCTGTTGAAATTACTTTGCAAACATGATTAAAATTTCCTATCTTCTCACTGAGTGAAAGCAGCAGCACCTGAGTGACAGGAGGCTACTTCAGCTGCTTTAAATGGCACCTGCAAATCCCTGCAGGAATGAGCCCTCAGTTCATTGTTCCTGCCTAGGAGAGCTGGGCAGCACTGAAGGCAGCACTGCTCTCAGTGGCCACTCATACTCTTAGACATCAGTCCTCATGTAACTAAGAAAGCCTCAACAAGCTATCATGCTGCTTGTACTTTGCCCTTATCTCTTCCTTCTTTCAGATCTGAAACAAAATCCTTTCACTAAACACCATTTGACTGATAATCCTATGGACCTGTTCTGCTGAAAGAGGTTTTAAGAGGTTCTTAATTTCTAAAATGCCTGACAGCCCTCAACTTCAATGTTCAGAGGCAAATCCCTTACTTGCTTTTCTCCAAATAATGCAGAACAGTAAGATATCCCAGGCCCACACCTGTAGCAGTCCCCCAAAAGCTCCTCTTTCCCCCTCCCCACGCCACAGGAACACGAAAACAATGTTTCCTGTCCGGCCCAAAGAAAAACCCAGGTTGAGCCCAAAGGGAACAGGCTTTTTATAGCTCAAGAAGTAGTCAGCTAACACAACTGCCCTGAACTACCCACTGAATGTCACAGAACTGATCTTGGGCTCCAGCCAGACTTTACTGCTGGCAATAAAACATTCATAATTCATAACGTATTGACTTTTCAGGGCTGTGTTTTGAGGTCTTAAAATGACAACTACGACCTTCAGCTATTGCTAGCATGCAGTTCCCTTCTTCTCGGACACACACACTTCATATACCAAATTACATAACATCTATTGTGCAAAAGGCATGAGATGCTGTGCTTAGTATCAGTTCCTACTGCACAAAAGTATATAAAACAAAGTAATTCAGTTTTTCCAAAGCACTACTTTACTTTTGTTCCTGTTACCCCTAACCTTGGGAGGGGTAATTATCTAAGAAAAAGAACATCTACAACCTGTGTAACCCTCAGATAAGAGGTAAAGGTTAGTTAACTTTTTTGCTTACTGAAGTCTCTGTCAGGAATTTCAGTGAGAAATTAATGGCTGTCACACAGGGTCAGACCAAAGTCCCACCTGGCTCAGTATCTTTTTCCTGAGTGATCAATCCTTGAGCAGTGCAAGATCCTCAGCCAGCTGTACCCTGGTGACATGATGACTTGAACCATGTGCATTTTCATGGTGGGAGATAATAACATAGTGCACGGTGCCAATCATCTTTTGTTACTTTTGGTTACTAGTAAAATTGTGAGGAAATGAAAGATGCATGGCTTAGAAAAGAGGTTGAAAACATGGGCAAGGGGGCTAAACGTTTGTTTAAGATGTATTTATGCTTCCTAACATTTATCAGAAAAAACCCTGGCATAACAGATATTAATTTCTGCCTTTTCTTGAAACTGAAGAATAAAGAATAGTATCTTATTAAATGGAAAAACCATCCTTGTGGACTTGGGATATCCAGACCTCCTTTTAGCCAAACTCAAACTGAATTGGCCGAGTCACAGTAACATTTCTACTACATATGCCACTGACAGAGGAACGCAAAGGGTTTTATTTTGTCTGTCACTCAAACTGAATGTTCTGGGTAGAAGTTAAGTGGTGAGCTCAAAAAGCTGCTTCCCTAAAGCTGTAAGTCTGGTGAAACAAGTTAATACTGTACTCTCATTACTACATTTGGGCTAAAATCTAGTAAGTAATATTGGTATTGAATTTAATTTAAAACAAATGTGAAAGCTAGAGATCACTTTGGTCAGAGGAATCAACCAGTATGATGTTTCAAAACTGCTTATATCAGTTTTATGTTTAAACTCAATTCATTGTCTGTTAACCTAAGCCATGCAGGGTGGGGAGATGGATTCCAGCTAACACTTGATTTATGATGGGGATTTAATGGCTTTAGTCACCTGCAATGGGGAACTTCCAGTGACTACTGCCACTTCCAGTGAACATGGGGGGAGGCTGAACTGCCACAGTTTGTCCTCACTTGCAGACTTTTCAATCCTCTTTTATCTTCTCACATACAGCCTGTGTGTCAAGTAGCCTTGCACAAAACTGCTCACAATCCAATGGCTTTAGAACGAACACGTTCTGTTTGACTCCTGGCATTTTGGTAATGATTAACACTTCCACAAGGACAAATTGTGAAAATGGGGACCAGTTTGGGGCAACAAATCTCAGCTTTCAAAAAGTCTTCCCACTACTTTTTTTTCCCTGGTCACTCATCAAATGCTTATCATTTGTTTAAGAAATTCACTCTAGGTTTTGTTGTGTACACAAGAGGATTTTTCAGTGCAGCACGGCTGCTGATGTGATTCTTCCATCAGTGCTGTGTTTAAATATGAAGTCATAATAAAAGACCTCCATACGTTATAGGTTTCTTCTTAAGTATGTTCCCGACCTCTTTACAAAGCAGGAATGATGGAAGTGGGAAATCTGAGTGTTTGAACAGCACTGTTTCCAACTCTGTAACTATACTTGGTGAATTACAGAACAGCCTTGATTTGCAATGGCATGTTTGTGGGAGTTTCCAGCTGACACTAAAATATGGAGGTTTATAACTAAGTGTCCTTGACAGCTTTTAATTTTTCCTTTTTTTTTTTTTTTATGCCAACACAACATGGCATTCCATGTAACAGAGGAAATGATTACAATCTTGATATGTCACAGATGTGTGCTGATGATTTGCATGGTTTAAATATTCAAGGTTTTTTAGGTGAATATATACACTGATGCTGAGCAAAGGCAGAACTTAGAAGTTTTACCATACAGAATAAGAAAGGGCATTCTGGCATAAGGTGACAGGAGAGGCAGAATGGGAGAAGCAGCAAGAGGGACAGTGCATGAAAGGAAAAAAAAAAATGACTGGAACTAAATTCTTGAAACAGATGTGAATATAATCTTTTTCACTTTGAGAACTAATCCTTGATCTTTGAGGTCACATTTCCTGCATATGGTGAAAAACTTATTTCTTTTAAGTTTCTCTGCACTGTGGTTCATATGCACGACACATACTTGAAATACAATACTGTAATGAATACAGATTTACTGACTACATTTGCCTTTATCAGTGCTACTATTAGCTCAGTAGATCTTATGTTACAAAACAGAAAGTCCCACTGTGTCCTGGTTAGAAGAACTTCAGTAGTGTCAGATGACTGTGCATGTGACTGGGGGAGTTATCTGTGGTTGCACTGTGACAAAACAAGATTACACGTAATGCCAGCTCTATACTTGGGAAAGGTAAGGGGGAAAGTTCTGCTGGAGACTAAGATGGCAGTTCTTATTAACCTACAGAAAATGTTAGACTTCTACACTGCTACCCTATCTGGCTGTTATTGCTAACCTGTCATATCACTCATGAAACCCCAAGGAAGTAGCAGATTACAATAGAGCTGTGTGCCCTTGCAGAGTTAAGAGCACAAGCTGGTATTTATGAGGGCTGCTGAAGCCAATTACTTTTGGTTTCAGTTCGTCTAGGCCAACAGGAAAATAAGATGGCTCAAAGTGTTTTGTCCCATATATAAAGCTGGACTTCAGGAATGCTTTTGAGACACTGAGGCTCAGTTAGATATGCAGAAGTACATAGGTTAATTCTAAAATTATCTCCTTAGTAAAATGCAGGTGACTCACATAGCCAAACCTTTATTGAGTTACTTAAGGCTTTACTCCATGTGCTAATATCAGTCTGTGGTACCCAGCAGTCCTCTAAAAAAGATGACACCTCCAATGGTCAAGCTTTGAACATGTGTTGACAGACATTTTGCTGATGAAGCTCAGACTCTCTCTTCTGCAAACAATTCAGGATGCATCAGCAAACTAACCTTAAAGCCATGCTGTTCTCAAATGATGTTGTTTGTTGGTTTTGATCACTATGCAAAGACCAGAGTCCTACCACAGGACAACAGTTTCACCAAGAGCTAAGTAATAACTTCATAAATACATCAGTTTCAGTGTGTGTAGGGTTTTGTGCAGCTCTGGGTGCTACTATCCCATGAATTCCTATCACGTGAATCACCTGTAGAAAGTTTCATGTTCATGCAGTCAAGCTCTATGTTCTGTGTGTTCCATCCCTGCCCCCACTTACTTTGCCTGCATTCACTCATGGACTTGGGAAACAATTAGTTTTATTCCTGCTGTCGCTGAAAAACATGGGTAGAATGAGGTGGGTATGTATTTTACACAACTCTACTATAGACCTGAGTAAATACTTGAGTGTTTCTTCAGTATATAGGTATAACAGTCATAATTTGGCTCTCATGATTATTGTCAGTCCTGTGCAAGTTGGAAAGAATCAAATTTAATTTAGCTTGATTTTTTTTTTTAAAGTGCAAATTCTCCTTAAGTAGTCTTAGTTGTGTGAAAAAACATTGTGTTAGGGGACTTTGAGCTCATAGTCATTTTTACACTGTCAATTTTCAGAGCAGGACAGTATTTAGTAGAAGTAATGAGGATCCTAATAACTAGGACGAAGTACAAGAGGAGGAAAAGGAGAAACACTTTGCTACTCTACCAGTGCTCTTGTATAGCATTCCTGTCAAGGTTCCAGCAGCTACGGTGTTCAGGTCATCTTCTGCACCTCGTGTTTTTTCAATGATGACTCCAAATGCACTGTAAAGTAGAGCTGGGGAAAAAAAAGATGAAGAAAACTCAAGTTAAAACCCCCATTGCCTGAGACACAAGGCTTGGAATCCAGGCTTGGTGTAGCTATTTAGACTGTGCTTCTGAAGCACTGATTTTCTGCTTATTTAAAGGAGAGGAATCCTCTGAAAAATCCCACCTTTGGTGGTTTTTTCCTCAGACCTCTTTCTATTTTATAGATGTTTAAATTAATATTGAATTGCTTGCGATTTGACATGCACAGGCAGAGAAGCAGCAGCTGGAAAATGAAAACTTTATCCCTAGAGCACATTTTGCTCTGGGACAACTTTAGACAACTAGAAAGAAAAATGCATGGGCTTTTCAGTATGGATGCATCTATCATCTATGCATTGTGATGAAGGGAAAAGGCACCACCATCACCATCCCTCGTGTATTTCACGCATTAAATGAAAGACATCAAAAACCCCACTTGTATTTCATGCTGACAATTTGAAATCTTTACTTCTGCTAAAAAGCATGTAAATCATTCCTGAACAACAACAATAATGTTGAAGAGTTGAACAGCAGCATCTTTCTCCTTTCAACACAGGCAATGGTATTTTAGCTTGCCTTAGCAGCAAGTAGTATTAAGAGTGAGGGGGAGGAAAAGCTGAATTCAACATAATTTTTTTAAGCAGTTCAACACAGATGTTGCCCCTGTTCAGGAACAGAATGACAAAAACTGTCAGTAGTGACAAAAAGAATCTTTGAGATACAGAAATGCTGGACAAGCAAAACCAAAAGCAAAAATAATTCAGCTCCTTTGAAAGGAACTTCTCTGGTAGCTACGACAAGACAGAGCTATACGAAATCCCCGAAGTTAAAGTTCAGCTCAACTCTCTGATTTTGGAGGCTGCATTTTGTAGGAAAATAACAATTTGTTACTGGAATGCACAAACACTTTCTTGAGTAATCTTTCTTCAAACACAGCTGAAAAAACATGTTAATGTGTCACTTAAACTGGAACCTTGAACTGCAGTGAATCTGCATCTCAGTTTTCAGACATGTTTTGATTAGATTTGGAACAAAAAATAAGAAAAGCCAACCAACCAAAAAATGGCACAATAAAACTCACTAGGCAATCAATGCATCTCCTATGAAACAAGTGCCACTTTTGCTGTAGTTCAGAATCCTGTCTCTGTGGCTTCTCTACTATGCCTCAAAAGGTAATGTCTGATTTGAATGGCAGCTAATCTGCTCTTTAGAAATAAGACTGAAACAAAATGTAATAAATGCAACTTATGCTTTGATGCATTTCTCAAAATTCAAATATATTACATGATGTCATCTGATTTAAATATTGCTAAGTTCCACTACAATGTTGTAGGGCAACGAGTTCAATCATTATTCTTCTTCAAAATAATTTCATCAGTTTTACATTTCTCCTTTCAAAGGTACTGTGTAACTTCTGGTCTTTAAGACTGGGAAAACAGGGTAGGGGGAGGCCAAAGAGCTTGTACTCCCTAGGGCATTAGGTATTTCACTGACTTCCATGAAATCTTCTCCAGTTTTTCTAAGGCAACTGATGTGATTTTATTTCACAGCCCATTCCCCACCCAAACCCCAGTTCACAAAAGTCTCTTTTTCATACAGGTTATTGATAATTTGTTTTTCTCTTTTTTCCTAACCCATATTAGTTATGAGCAATATTTAGGTTTAGAGTTGGTGGTGTCATATGTGACTTTTCTAGCTAATGGGCCATCATTAAAGGATAAATCTTTGTAATCACTATCACTTTTCTACTTCAGATAAATATTTTGTTGACTCTTCAAATGGAAACAAACATCAGGCAGTTGATCACATGATCTCTGTAGGTTAGAAAAGTTACTTCAGAAGTATTAAATTATATTTTTTTGCCTTAAGTTGCGAATTAACTGTAATTTATTAACAAATAAGCATTATCTATAATTTCTAGTTATTTCTTTTACTCTACAGATAGAGTTCTTGTTTGTAATATAGTAAAAACGTTGAGGTTTAATTAAAGGCTTTTGGTTACTTATGCTTCAAACCCTATTTTAGCCTTTAATTTCTTTTTTGATGTCTACTGAAATGTCCTCATGTCCCACAGAAAAAACTTGCATTTTTTCCACAATGGATTTAATAACTAAAATTTAGAGAATTCTGTTTAGAGAATACACAAATACACTTTCCCAATAATTACATCTTTAAGTAAATTGTTTTCCCTACAAAAGAATGACTTTACTTACCCAGTGATCCCAGTGTGTTAGCCCATAATGCTCCTTGCCTTGTCACCATATTTAGAATTCTAAAAAGGAGTTAAAAAGGTAGGAAAATGTTTACTGCTCTGTGTTTACATCAAGGTAGTGTTTATGACATCAGGTCTTGTGTGTTTACACTACACATTTGGTTAATAAAACTGGAATAATGAACTGAAAGCTCTTCAAAACAAACCACTAAGGCAAAACACACAGCTTGGTAATACATAATCTCTATCATGGATAGTGTGCAGGCAATACTGAAAGCAAATATTCAGTCCTGTCAAATCTTAAGAAAACCTTTATCTCTTTTCAGGGCAAACTTGACCCTTGCCAAGACTCAAATCTCTTCCCTGCAAATAGCCTTCTAACCCTGGGTGTTCCTTATGTGGTGACTACACAGAGTTACCAGAATGATGGGTACACCTTTGCTGAGGTAACTGGGTAAAAGACCTCTGGGAAAGCCAGAGTGCCCTTCTAGAAGGACCATGTGTCAGGGAGTGGGGCGATGCCTGAGCCAAGTGGTGTGAGACTAAAACCAATTCCAAACTAAAGCAAGTCAGGAAGAAGAGAGGCAATCCTTTGGAATTCCATTTGTCCAACTCAGCACCAACAGAAGGTGAAGAACCCTGGCTATGTCTGCATGTATGCTCCCAGACTAGCACTACAGAGGGAAAGGAAACCTCTAGTGCGCTCTCAGAGAAGCACAGGGACACTTCTTTTTGGCCTCAGCTGTCTCCAGAGCGGGGACAACAGCAGCCAGAAGAAATGACTGATCTTTATCTCCCAGCAGTGTAACACTATCACAGGCACAGTATTGCTCTGGACAGCTGACTACCACTGGAACTTGGTTTATCATTTAAAGCAAAAAAGTCACACGTTATGTCGTTTCTGGTTTAATTTTCTACTATTTTTCCTTTTTTTTTTTAAAATACTTTTCGTTAGGACACAGGTCATTACTGAATATGGTTAGGAAATGAACTAAACAATAATGGAAAATTTCGTTTTGAAACAAGAGAAAAAAAAATCCAAGAGGTTAGGGTACTGACAACCTGTCCTTAATTACAACCCCTAACCCACTTCTTAACTTTACATCAATTTTGAACTGATGAGAAAATTGATAATTTTCATAACCATGACACATTGAGATACTTGATTCAAATTCATTAAAAAAAAAATTTGTGCAGAGTTAGGATAAATTTGGAGGAAATCTAGGCAGGTCTCTTCCCTGCATCTTATAAGGAAAACACAGAACTTAATGCACTGTTTGAGGGTGATGACCTTCAGCAGGCCTTTCCCTTGCAGGGCCAGGATAACAGCAGGGTGTGCACTGACTGCCACCTCCTGGCCTCGACCTGCCAAAGTTTGTGCTTAACAACATGGTTCTGTCCATTCCAAATACATATACAATTCTGTTCATCTAGACAAGAGCTGTAATTATAGTGGTGAATATTTTGATAAAGGGATTGAATACAGAAATAGAATTTAAAATGGGGCAGACCCAGTATAAACTGTACGAGAAAATAATAAGTTCCTCCTCTAAAATTCCCTTGTTACCAAGTATTCTGGGAGTGAAAATTGTTTTCCCCCCATCATTCCACTCCTCCAATTTCCTACAGCTCCTTCACTTAGGTTTTCTTATAGTTGTGTCTAAACTACCATTAATTCTAGAAGAACCATCCTGTTGAAAAAAATGTTCCTGTTTCATACTGCTTTCTGTCAAACAATCAGGTAAGGTGAAATCATGGCAATGCCATGGGTGTTCATGGATGCCATAATCCAGAACAATTTCCACCTTGCAGCACTTGCTGAGCAGCATGCACCAATGTCAACCCTAATGCAAATCCAGGCAGGCCCATCTTCTGCATTTTAATCTTCTCCTGGTTTTGAAAAGCTTGGGAAAGAAGGGAGACTCACTCCTAGAAAAATGACAGCAAAAAATAGCTCAAAGCAAACTCTGCTGCCTCTGGGAGTATTTCAACATATAAAAACACTGCTTTGCCTTTGAAGTAGATTTTTAATAAACATCAAGGCAGTAATTTATTCTCAAGTATTTAAGGTAAGTCAGAGGACACACCAACTGTGACTAAATGAAAAGCAAAAAGCTTGAACTGAACATAATTATAATGAAAAACATTTGCTAACTTGTTGAAGACAAATATTGATTCCTGTTTGTCCCCACTGAAGAAAAAAAGGGCATTTATTTTTGCAGTATATTCATGTCTGATCTTGTACAAGGTGGAAGAAAGAGCTCTGTCACTAAGGTGTACTTTGCTTTGAGATGGAACACTTACTGTACGTTTCTAGGTTTTGACCACGGCATGTTCTGTGTCTCCTTCAAGCCAAGTCTCAAACCATTCAGTGCACCAAACGCTGCCCCTGGTTGGCACAACATCAGTCATTACTTTTTGAGAAGAAAAAGGAACAAAAAATCCCTGAAACAATACTAGAAACAAATACTGAGAGTAGACTTCAGTGTATACTGAAGTCAAATATCTGTTCATTTAAGACTAGAACAAAGAATGCCTTGCAGAACAAGACATTTACAAACTTATCAATTACTGTAGTGCACAGGTGTTACCTGGACAGTTGGGAAAAGTGGAAAACACAACCACCTACCTGTCATACAACATCCTCCAATGGTAAAAAAGGCCAGCTCAAATCTGCCTCGAGTTTTGTTGGCTCCTGTGGGCAAGATAAACTCATCTGTGTCCTGAGGGAAAACAAAAACAAATGCTTTTGTATTTTCCAAGCATACCTGCTTCAAAATGTAGGCTTATATTAATGTTTTTTCTTTAATTCATGCAATGAACTAAAGATGGATACAAGTGTTTCTGGAAATTTCTTGCCTACACTAGCAGAGAGAGGGAATACAGTATGTGTATGCTTTATTAAGTGTGAAAAAGGACTTTAAAAAGATAAACTGAGAGCTTTTTTTTTTTCCCCAGCTCTCTTAATTTTTAGAAATTACATCAGTCAGCCAAGGAACTCATACTGCGTGGGTTGTTGGTTGTTTTTGTTTTCAATGACTGTTTGCCTAATTATTTATTACATCTTCCAGCAGGCAAAACAAGCCCTCCAAAAACCTTCCTGTTTTCTGATTATGCAGCACTGTTTCCTCACTGAGCAACCTATATTGATGCAATAATGCCTTAATTAAGGTTTTTCACTACTCTGACACTAAAGAAAAACTACTTTTGTGCCAAAAGACGTATTTCCATGCACTGAAATAAGTGACCTATTTTGAAGAGGTGAAAAAAGAAGGAATAGACTCAAAATTAATGATCAGGTGAGGTCAGTAGTTTTTTACTTGTGCATCTTCCTCTTACAGAGACAGGTTTGTGTCCTTGTGAATGGCCTGAGAAGCTGTAGAGAAACCAGCAGATGTATAGAGATTAAGGTGGGTCAAAGAAAGTTTTCAATTAGACATGAACAGGATGCACGTGTTGATGAGGTGCTAAAGCAGCAAGATCTCTTTTATGCTTCTGTGCTTTCCAGACATAGTATTACTCACCCCCTCTGTAACTGATACATGACTGCAACAACTGCAAGCTCAAGGAATTGCATTCCAAGGGGTTTTATTGGTCCATACTTGACAGTAAATGTGGATGGCAATACAGGAAAAATATACAGCTTCTAAAACTGTGAATATTGTATCAATAAACTGAACCTGTAATATGGTTTCTATCTTCCTTCTAACTAAATTGTTGAAGAAATTCAGTGCATGCACTAGTTAGCAGCTTCTAACAGTTTTCACTACTGCCCCAAAAGTCAAGATGAACCAATCCTTGTCTGTATGTAACATTTAAGTTTCTATAACAACAACCAAGGAGCCCCATCCTCTGGGCTTCTGCCATAGCATTATAAAATGCTATTTTAGAATGCATGTTACCCTTGGAAGGCAGCAAAGCATTGCAGGAAAAACCTTGTTCTGTGCCTGCATTAATGGACCAACCAAGAAAGTGGGGCTTAAATAATGAGTACCATTGTCTCATTTGTTATTATGGGAAGGTCAGAATCAAAATGTAAGGTTCTCAACAATAAGGCTTTTCCTTTGCATTCAGAAAGCAAAGAGATGGTCTTTGAACACAGGAGACCCTCACCTCTCTTTTCTTCACAGAAACCCTAAATTTAAAGGCCAATAATTTAAGTTCTTGTATTCTAAAATATTAGCTATTTCTTTTTCCTTGAATATTTAGAATCCCAGGGACCTGTGGAGACTGCTTGGTGCAACCCACACTGCTAAAAGTAGGGTCAGGTAGTGCTGGGCACTCAGTTGCTCCCAGGTTTTGTGCTTCTCTAAGGATGGAGACCTCACAGCTTATCTGGGCAACTTCTTCAGGTAAAACACGAAACTTTCTCACATTTAAATGGAATTCCCTTTTTATTTCAATGCACTTTCCTTTTATTTCAACACATTAGTGCTAAACTTAAAGGCAGGGAAGTGTTATAACACAGACTGCAGCCTATGTGTTACATCAACAGGTATTTTTAGAACTGTACCACGACACTGATGCCAACACCTCTTAGTTTAAAGCAAATTTCTCTTCTGTTTTTAAAAACTCTTAGTATATACACAGGCTTTGTTCTACAGCCTCTGCTACACCGCTTTTAACACCACCATGTTCTCAGAAAAACTGTACTAAGGACACAAGACAACTTCAGAGAGTGTTTTGGGGAGAGGTCTAAATCACTCAGCATTTTTCTGGCCACTCAACAACAGCAGGCCCCACTAGTGAACACAAAAAGAGGCATATCCCCTGTTTTCTGCCATTATGGGAGTGTTACATTGTAATCTGGGCTACAACAGCTTCTAAGGAAAGAGAAACATAATAAACAGCCCCCAGAACTCCATTCAGAGTTTCCAGGTACAGAATAAACAGTGTACCATCAAACATAAGGCACACAGATAGCAGATCCTATGCAACTGTGCTAATTCTACAAAATTTAATGTTCTCAGATAATATGAGCCACATATAGAGAAAAATATTAACTAAATAAAATCATTAAGACATGCATCCTAATTGGACTAACTTAAACATTTTCAGCTACAGTTAATATTGCTGAAAAAGAAAAACACTACTGAAGTTCAAATATTTTTTTTTTCCTTATGGTGCCATCATTTTATATTAAGTAATGTTAAACTGTGTGTGACAACCATTATTCTGTAGAACAAAATGGGAAGTTTCACTTCGTGATGGTCCCCCTTCAGCTGGGAAATGACATAAGTGGTGTGACATTTGCTGCTGCTGTGATGACAAACCCTGTTATCAGGTCTGGGGTTTGGCCGAACACCTCTGTAAAGTTCAGAGCTTCACAGAGTTCTGGAGACCAATCCCTGAATCATCAGAATTCTCACAGTTGTGATGATGATCAGAAAATTCACACTTCAGAAAACTAATCCATGAGATGAGTGGAGAGATTCTGGCTGCTGTTACGGATTGAGGGGGCTCAGGGGAGGGTGTGACCAATGCCAGGATTGCTGTGAGGGTGCCTTGGGTGTGCCAGCCTCAGGGCAGGGAGGGACACCTCCTCTCCTCCCCAGCAGCAGGCTTATACTGACACAACAGCCTTACCAGTCCTCTGTATTTTCACTGGTTGTCTTCTACATGTCATGGCACTGCAAGCTTTTATTAAGTACAACACTCAAAAATTGTTTCTTTCCACTGTTCACCACTCAATACCTCAGCACACCCTGCACAGCACTGCAGGAGTTTTGGGGTGTTCACGTGTGGTTGTGCAAACACTGGGATCGAGTTCTACACGGTAAAAACAAGCCCCCGTCTCACCTGTACTAGATACTTGGGGTCCAAGTTTAAATACGGTGACAAAGGGCTCATTCCAGTCACTGAAAGGAAAAAAACAAATAAACAGAGCACTTTAACACCAGCTTCCCCAGTAACGATCCACATCCCGTGAGGCAGAAGGGGGCACACCTCGTGCGCGGAAGCAGGGAAGATTCCGCCGTGAAGTTGCACAACTCGTTACAAGGCGGCCCCGGCCTTTCAGGAAGCGGAACGGGAGCTCCGGGATGGGGCGGCCACGGCGTGACCAGCGATTGTCGCGACACGCGGCACGGCCGGGGCCTGGCCCTCCGCCCCCGTCCCGGCAGGGGTAGGAACAGCCGGGGACCGGCTTCCTGCGGGCGGGCCTGTCGATCCCCGTTCCGCCTTCCATCCCCGAGACCGGCCTCGCTCCGGCCGCCCGGCCCTGCCGCGCTGCCCGTGCGTGGACACTGCCCCCCGCCCCACCCCGCCCCCGCCGGCTGCCCCGGTACTCACGCGGCACCCCGGCGAGGTCGGCGTGCGAGTACCCGAGCCCGCCGGCGCCGAAGAGGCCGCCGAGCCCGGTGCCCTTGGAGTTCCCGCCGCCCTCCATGGCGGCCGCCCCGCCGCCCTCACCGCCCGCTGCCGCCCGGCAACGCCGCAAAGCGCCGCAAAGCGCCGCCGGGCCGCGCTGCTTTGCGGGTCACCATGGCGACGGGGTGAGGCGCGCCCGCCGCCATCTTGCCGCGAGCCGCGCTCCCCGGACGCGGCTCGTTCCCGGAGCCGCTCCCGCCGCGCCTCGGGAACGGCCAGGCGTGCGGGGCGGAGGATGCGGACGGGTCGAACCGCTGCCGGAGCGACGCGCCGTCCCCGGGGGGCGGGTGCCGGCCGGCCCCGGCGGGCAGGGCGGCCCCGCCGAGGATGAGCGCGGGCTGCGGGCGGGAACCGCCGCTCAAGAGAGCCCGGCTCGGCCCCGGCAGCCCCGGCGGCGCCCAGGGACAGCGGCAGGACGGGCCCGCGGGCAGCCCCGCCACCGCCGTGGGGAACAAAGGTTGGTTTGTGCGGGCCCGGGTCGGCGGGACGGGGCTCCCCGGGATCCGAGTGGCCCCCGCCCATTGTGCCGCTCCGTGTGGCCGTGCGGGGACGGGCCGGCGGGTCCCCCTGTGCCGCCCGGGGCAGCCCTGCGAGCCTCTGCTGCCCCGGGCATCCCTCGGCGGCGAGGCCGCCAGTGTCTCTGCGCGGAGCTTCCCTGGAGCTGCCCTTCCTTCGGGCTGGCGTGTCCCGTGGAGCCGAGCCCGCTGGTCAGTACGTGCTGCTCCCCCTTGGAGACGGCGCTGGGTGCGGGATCTTTAGCTTGGTTTTGTGCCTGACTCTTAGCGAACTTGCACTGACAGCGGAAACCATCCCAGAGAGGTGCGAACCACCAAAGGGAGCGTGTTCTGTAGGAGAGAAGGCGAATACTTGCTGCAGGAAAAATGGCTTTGGGCGGGGATTGTGCCGGGCTGTCACAGGGAAAGCCGAGAGCAATGACAGGAGCCCACATGGGCTGTGGCTGCCGGCCCGGAGCTGCTGGCCCCGTGGGGCGGGCAGGGGTGGCTGCTCCTCCTGCCGCCTCGCAGAGCTGCCCGGAAAAGTTCCCACGTGGCTTCCTTAGTTTTGTTTCTTATTTGGAGCTAACGCTGTCAGAATAAAATTTTAATGCACGACAAAGTGCCTCTTCCAGGAATAGAGAGGAATGGAGGGAAGGGGAAAAAGACCCCAAACAGATTTACTGTTGTCTGCAGCTGATGAGTTAAACCCCAGTGATCAGCAGGTAAGAGGCAACTTTGAGCAGATAATAGTTCGTAATTGTAGGTGTGCACTCCTACGGGGTTGGAAAGTAAGTTGTTTTTCTCAGAGGTAGACTGTGGGGAGTGGTTTCTTTTATGGAAATGATTTGGGGAATCTCGAGTAGAAATTTAGATACCACTTTAAAAATTACAGCAAAGTCTGGTTCTGTTGTTTACCCTGAAAGTAAGTTTGTGTTGTCTTTTTGTTGCCTGTTGTTTTCACCACCTTTTCTGCAGCAAAAAGCGATGCTGGCAGTGTGAAAGTGATGTGTGTTACGTTGGCTGTAGGACTTAAGTGGTTACTCAGTTGTTAAAGTTCAGACCAAAGCCATTTGGTTGTGATGCTGCTGCCATAATTTCTATTTATTGTGCTGTGAATAAGTATTTCTTCCTCAACACAAGTTTATACCTCAGGAGTTAGTCAGCTGCCTTTGAAGAGGTTTATTTGTCCCATGTTTTCACATGTCTTTTCAGGTTGTTTTTTTTTTTTTTCTGGCTTCTGCTTTTCCCTTACCTTAAATTTGGGTTAACACTTCAAATGTAGGAAGGTGAAATTTGGTAATCAGAATGACTAATAGACTTCAATTTAGTGAGTCTTTAGAAGTAAAAATATTGTAGTTCATAAAATCTGTCCATTTTTGTCTGAGTGTGGTGAGGCTGAGCATTTGTTGGAACATTGATTATGGCACAGGTATCCTTGTGCTTGTAACCTACACATACCTTGGCATTGCTCCCTGGTCACCCAGTCCCATAATGGCAATTTTGCGCTATTATTTGTGCCATTATAGAGGAACTTCAAACCATTTAAACATTTTCTGCAGATTACTTCTCATTCTAGAAATTCTGGTATGCTCTGATGAGGATATTTGATAACCAGCTGTGGGAAAGTGTTTATGAAACAATGTCTCTTAAGTTACCTATGGCCTAAGCTACCTTTGATTCAAGTTACACAACCTCCATTTGCAGAAAAAGCCCCTAGTGACTGTTAAATTAGAAGAGCCAGATCTACTATACTGGTTTTTAAGTTCTGCAAAACTATTGTTACAATAAGGGCACTACAAATGTTACCTGCCCAGTTGAAAGCATTGAGTGAACACTTTGCACAGTCAGCAGTAGCAGGTAGGTACTTTCTCTTGGCAAATGGAAGCTAGTTGCCACATTTGCGGAATTACCATTAAATAAAACAAACAAAAGACAACTAAAAACTCATTATGCTAATGAAGATATTTCCAGTTGTGAAATAACTGCTTTGAGTTTTTTCTCCCTAATCCCCCACCCAGGTTTCTGCATAATTAGTTCGATTGAAAGCTCGTCTGAGGTGCAAAAATATACAGATAAGACTGGAACTGTGTTGGTAGTAAATCTGAAAAAATTCTGTCCTTTGTTTTGTTGCTGTTTTTGGGTAGTAAGCACTGAAAAGCTTTTCAAACTGTTTGTGAATGGAGGGGAAAAGAAGAAATCCTTTTCGGAGCACTTGTCACTTCTAGTGTGTGCCATGGTTATATTAAGCCTTATGTTTCCCAGTATGCTATATACAAATAAGGTTCTTGGATGGGTCCTCTAAGATGTCTAGTTGTTCATTCTTTGTTTCTTTTAAGCTATGTCATGTTGGCTCTTGGTTCCAAAAATCAGCAGAAGGTTTTGGGACTCAGTGTGGTGGTGATTAAAGGTAATGATGAGGGCTGGAAACTTCAGATTGCCCCCTTTTTTTTTCCTAGACATTCACTGTATATTCTTAACCTTTTAATGATATTAAAAGAATGATGTTGGGTGAAAAAAAAAACCCACCACACACCAAGCCTGAAACTTATAAAGATCATCACAAAAGAGACAGCAGATTTAATACTGCTGGTGTCTGGATGCTCCCTACAGTAGAGACGCTAATGAGGATTTAATTGAGGTGTTTTATCCTCATCCAGTACAAGTTACCTTATTATTATGCAGTGATGTTGCAGTTTTATCGTGTTCCATGTAGTAACCAGTGAACTGTGGTTTTTCAGTTTGCAAACAGCAGACAATTACCAGTTGGTTGGAGAATAAAGGACCCAAGACAACGGAGTCCAAAAGGTAAAATGCACAGCATACCTGTTCAAAAGTTGTGTTCTGTGAGTGGGTCTGGGGAGAGATAAAGGTGCAGGTTGCCAGTATAGCTGGATAAGTAGGGGCAGCCCCAGTTCTGCTGCTTTCCTTACCTTGGCACATCCCCTTGAGTTACTAACTGAAAGACTTTCACTACAAAAAGCTAACTAGTCCCCCATCCATCTCCTCTAAACCCCCAAACCCAAACCTTTTGCTGACAGAGCTTCCTGAAGCATCTCACAGTTTAGGTGGAAAAACACGGCCGTTCCTACAAAGAAATAGATGGGAACCTGCAGCAAGGGAAGGCAAAGCGGGACTTGCTTCCAGTAGCAGTCAACACTGGATCAAGTTAGCTGTAATATCAAACTATGTCCTTGGTCAACAGCTCTGCTTTCAGTTTTGTTTAAAATAGGGCACTAACAGTTACAGATTTTGGCTGATAGTCCTGTGGTCAACTCACAGTTTTGTTGTTATTTTACATTTTGGTTTGTCTCATGGGACTGTGATTGTAGTTTAAATGTGGGCAGCTTGATTTGGTTTCAGCCAGAATTTACAGGTGCTCAAATGTGCATTCAGGTTATTTTATGAAAGATGTTCCAAAAGTTTTGCTGCTGAATGGCTTCAGGTAAAGTTTGGTATTTTTTGCTAATGTGCTGTCCAGAGCAGTGATTGCAAGGCAGTGTTAAAATTAAACTCCAAAGAGTTTAACTATGTGGTGCAGAGCAATATCAGATAATATTTTTCTATAGTTGCCAGTAAATGTGCTAGTTTATTTTTCACTGAGTTTTTCCTAATAAATACAAATTGAAATCTGTATCAGTGCTAAAATAGCTGGGAAGACTCATCCTAATGGTTAATACAGAAGTATGCAGAGCTAATTAGAGGCTCACAGGTTGCAGTAAATCAGGGATGTTAAAAGGATGCTTAAGGAGGAAATTAATTATTTTTTTTAATTCCCTTTAAAATAGTGTTCTTCCATCCCTGCTAACAAATTACAGCCTACTCAGTTTTAAGCAGCAGATTATTCATGTAAACATTTCATGTGCCTTTCTATTGCAATTAACATCACTATTTTAATTTAAACTCTGTCCTTGTGTTAGATTTGATATCTCAAGTTGGCAACACATGTTGTCAGTACCTTTAAAGAGTCATTCAGATGGGACTAGTAACATAAGTTTCATTTCTGTTCATCAAGACTTTCAGGAACAAATGCAGACATGGGAAATTAAATTATCATAACATAAACCCCTCCAAAATCCTTTCCAAGCTGTCATCTGTTGCTTCAAGCCCCCTTTTTTCTTTTTTGTTCTGTAGTGGTAGAGGTGTGAATGCTCTGTCCTAATCCTGAGTGGTCTTTTAGAAGAGGTCTGTTATCATTCATGGAGAGAATTAATGCCTTCAGGAATCTGCTAAGATGTTCAGTTGCTGAATTTAGGATTGTGTGATAATTGCATATTTTTCTTTTTACTGTAGATGGGAAGCTGGGCAATGACCAGACACAGAGTTTGGTTTGCATTGGTAATATACAGAGTTGTAACAATACATTCAGGAGAAGATACTGTTCAGAGCAATGTATTCACCAAGACTAATCAGGGGTTTTATAGTATTCATGTGCCATCTAAGTATTTTTCTTTATCAATGCACGGACACACAAATTAGTACGTAAATGTGAAATGACTTTCCTGTGTCGTCTTGAAAAGTTTCATCTCCTCATACAAAGCTCAGTTCGTTTCTCT